TTTTTTTTTATGTTGTATAATTTGTATGTTGGTTATTGTTATTTAATGTTGTTTCATATTGTTTAATGTTGTTTCATGTTACTTAATTTAATTTAATGTTGTATAATGGCTTAGGAAGTTATAGGAAAAAACTATAATTTAAAAAAAATATGAAACAAATTTTGTGAAATAGAAGTTATAGGAAAAAAAATAGAATTTAAAATAAAATGAAACAAATTTTGTGAAATAGAAGTTATAGGAAAATATGGAATTTAAAAAAAATATGAAACAAATTTTGTAAAATAAAAGTTATACGAAAAAAAATAGAATTTAAAAAAATATGAAAAATAGAAGTTATAGGAAAAATTTTGTAAATAAAAAAAAATAATAAAACTGTAAAAAAAGAAAAATTCAAATGCAACGGCTAGCTGACGTTAGTTAGCCGTCGCATTTGAATTTTATCTTAAGCATTCATGTCGGTTATAATCGACATGATTAATGTTTTTTCTGGCCAGCCCTTTGGCTCATTCAGATTCCGTGGGGCCCTCTCAGATTCCATGAACCCTATAGTCCAGCTCTCGGTTGGAGACGATTTTTGGACTATTTTCGGCCCTCTGGCCATTTGGACCATTCGATTGGAGATGACCTCATATTTGGTTTGGGTAGCCTTGCAACATAGCTCATAAGACCCATCATAGAACATTTGAGTTAATATCCCAAATATCCTAAGCCGTAGGAAATTCGATGAACAATCCAAGCAGATGGGGTTCTATGGTTTTGAACAACCAACCCCTAACAACTGTATCTTCAGTGATCCACTTAGTATAACCAGAATCAGTTTCTTCAACATGGGGAGTTTTTTTATCATCTTCGACCAAACCTTGAAATTTGAGTCCCTCAACTTGAACCCAACATGCCGTTGATGTTGGTGGATTCATTGGAGATTAGTTTGCAAACCCTTCTTCTTTTCGGCCATCGGAAGTTAGGGGTTCAAATATGTTTGTGGCCGTATGGACCGACACTATCAAAGAAATTTGGTAGGGGTAACAAGGTTTTAGGGTTTTGGTTTGGTGCTAACCGGAAAACAACAACCAGTGCAGGTTTTGTGCTGACCAAATATGGGTCGCTACGGTTTTTTTTGGGAAGAGACATGCCTAAACCTACTTTGGTGCCAAAATAAAAGTAGAAGAGTATTTGAGGAATAATTCAATTGTATTCTTCTCTTTTTTTTTTCTTTAAAAAAAGGGACAACTGGTAGTAAGCCACGGTTATCCACCATTTTCAGAAGCCGGGAAGACTTATAGAGGCATTTCAGTCTCCTCTGGTCACAAGTCTGGCTTCCACAAGGAATATATATACAAGGATATCCCTAATAAGGAGAGAATTACAATAATAAAATAAATACAATAAGTTGAACCACACCAACAGTTCAGACTGTTCAGTACCAAATCCTTTATTGGTCTTAGTTTAAACCGAATTCTATGGGTCAACTTTCAACTAAGAATATATGCCATAAGTAAAAATACTAGAGTCTCTTTGGTTATTCACCCTTAGATTTGATATTAAGATTAGACCATCTCCAATCTTTGGGTTTAAACTTAAAATTTTTAACCTAAAAAATTCAGGTTTTAATCCAAAAACAATTTTTCTGCTCCAACCCTTCTAGGTTAAATTTTTAGTCCGAAATTATTAAAGAATGAATTTATGATACTTTTTTTCTTAAAGTAACTTTAAAAAAACATATGTAGATTATCTTAATTTAAATTTATGAACATTTTAACATAAAAATATTTAGATTCCAATAAACATTGAAAAATCACTAAACCGACACCATGAAACTCGTTGAACACTATGAAAGAATATGACACATATGAAACGATTTTTTTTTAATTATTTTAGCCGTTGAATTTAAATTTGAACTGTTAGATCTTTTTTTTATTGTTGGATTTGATTATATTAGGTCTTAGCCGTTAGATTCAATGAATTTATAAATATAAAACTAAAAAAAAAATACACATATATTTGCTCCAAGGGATGAAACAAGTTGGGGTAGGTTTAGAACCTAAAATATGAGTTCTACTCTAAGGGTTGGAGTAAGTCTTAGAGGTTGAAATATTAAAAGTACATCTATTTATTCTTCATCCTTAACATCAAATCTAAGAATAAATAATCTGCATTCCTTCATCTAATTATTCTTCATCCTTAACAACGAATCTAAGGATAAATAATTATACATTTCTTGATCACTGAATGACTGAGATAATTTAAACAAATAGACAAATAGATTGCCAGTTAACCTCAAGAATAATAAATGAATAATCGTGAGGACTCTGGACTCAAGTCACCTCCGTTTCTTTCTTTCCTGACTTTCTAAGCGTGACTATTGCCCTTTTTCTATTCTTTTGTATTGAGTACATTTGATTACTCTTTTCACGTTTACATGACATGAAATCTCGTTGGTAACAATTACAACTTATTTATATTAATAAAATATAAACGATATTAATATTATATTCTATCTAAAATAATTTTGTTGTCTACATTTTTCTAGAACCTCATTGCCCTTTCCTCGACAATTCTTGACTTGCCACTGCCTTCGACCTTAGGTAGGTTTGCTTATGACATCCTATTCGGTTAATAACAATTCTTTGCCCAATATTCGCGTGGAGGTGGCGTGTCCAATTGATCCGTCATATTCCAGGAAAAGCAGTCCACCTCTTTCTTTTTTAAGCACCTTCCCACTTTCCCCCATTTTCTGATTAGTACTCTGGCGATGCCAGCCTTTACTTAATTCCTTATTTGCATGCATACTAGAGTTTAATAAGTAGCCAGCTGCAGTTTGTTGCCTTTCCATTCATTTCACTCCGTAAGTAGTAATTAGACTACTTTAATTTCATTGCTATTTTTTTTTGTTTAGATAATACATGATATGGCTCTAATTTTTTTGTTTGTTTAGTTAATACATGTATGATATGCTCCACCAGAATCACAGGTTGAACATGGCACAAGGTGTTTGGAAGTCCATGGCACGAGGTGTCTTCGAGACTATGGCTGGTGCGTTGAAGACGTCATTACATCCATCAAGCACAGGTGTGTCTCAACAGAACAAATAAAATAATTCTTTTCCATTTCATTATCTAATTATATAATCTTCTATATTTTTTCTTGAAAAAAAAAAAAAGTTTAGGGATCTCATACATAAATGTTCGTATAAATACGTGGCCTTCATATTAAAATTACTAATTATTAACAAACAAAAAAAAAACAGTTACAGTGGGAAATAAAATGGAGAGTAGAGAGAAACAAGTGAGAAAATAGGAAGAAATGAGAGTGTGTATTATTTTCATTAGAAAAAGAATAATGGTGTATGTAGCACCACTTATTATAAAGAAAAACAGTTACAGTGGGAAATAAAAAGGAGAGAAGAGAGGAACAAGTGAGAAAATAGGAAGAAATGAGAGTGTTGTCATTGTTGAGTTTGATATAGCTGGACATTCATCTTCAAGAAATTGAACTTAAGAATAACTTATTCTTTTGCTCCATCCACCCTTATTTGTCTTATAGATGAGTTTATGTGTGAGAGTTCAACACAACTGTGGTTCGTTAGTCTTATAATTTGAAGTAATTGTTGTATTTTGGGAGACAAAAGCCATAATCACGAGCATCGTATTAGGCACAAATTGTGTTAAGGACAGCATGTCAAATTGTTTCAAGTTTTTTATTTTATATGAATGTGCTTAGCATTATTATCTAATTATTAGATGAATGATTTCTTGATTTATTTTATGTGATTGTATAAACAATTAATATCTATCCTAGTTTTCCAACATTTAGATTGTTAATAACTTAATAGCTAGCAATGATCCTATATAATCTTCCAATTGTCATATATTTCATATGCACAATAATCAGAACCATTCCTGAAATTGAAGTTAAACCACAAAAATTTTGAATGTTTGAAAAGCATGCATGTATACTAGAGGACTATTCACAATAACAAAATAAGAAGGAAAAAAAAGGGATACTTTGGATGCAGTCCGTAATTTTTAACATTTTTTTATTAAAACCTTAATAGTATTCAAAGTTTGATCAATGTCCCTTGACTTTGTACACCTCATTATATTACGATTAATATTTATATTTTTATAGGTTTGAGATTAATTGTTTGATATTTTATGAGATTTATAATCCTATAAATTTAAAATCCCTCATTATAATACTATTAGAAACGGTTACAATAAAACAATTCAAACATTTTGATTGAATAAATGGATAAAAACTATGTAAAAATAAGAAATAAGAAATGGCAAAAGAATGTATCCATAGTGTTAAAAAAATTGGTACATTTCACATATAACAAAGTGGTACATTAATAAAGAAGAATGGGTACATTATAAATATTAGGGTACAGATAAAAGATTAAAAATTATGAGTACAAATGATTTTTTTTTAAATATAGGCGCTAAAAGAAATTAATACATGGGTACAAAATAAAACTAAAAAGAAAATACTACAAATTTAAAAAAAAAATGTTGCAAATTAAAAGTGGGTACAAATTAAAAATATAAATATATGATACAAAGTTTAGGCATAAAGCATAAATATACCATATGTAATTTTTCTATCATTGATTAAATATACAATGTCACGTGACGATATACACATGGGTACAAACACAAATAAAACTTTAAAAAATATGGGCACAAAAAGAAACTAATATATGGGTACAAATTAAAAATGAAAAGAAAATTGGTACAAATTAAAAAATATTTGCAAATTAAAAATAGGTACAAACTAAAAATAAAAATATATGATAAAAATTTAGCCATAAATATAAATATACTAATTGTAACATTTTTAACACTAAAGGAATATATTTAAAAATAAAAAATATTTTATTATTCAAATAATTAATGATGTTATTAATACCTAAGGACTTTGATCAAAAATTGAAAATGAATAGGATTTTAATCAATGGAGTAACAAAAATAAGGATGTGAACCTAATTTTCCCGAAAAAAAATGACAGGAATATCAGATGAATATAGCAAGTATGAACCTTTCTTTGATGCTGTGAAAGCTGGTGATTGGAAAACTGCAAAGGAGTTTTACAACCAGCATCCAGAGGCAGTAAGAGCAAGACATCCGTTTTCCGGTAAGACGGCTCTTCACATGGCAGTTGATGCCAGGCAGACGAAAATGGTGAAAAAACTGGTGAAGTTGATGGATGTGAAAGACTTGGAAATAAAATCGACAGTAGGTGGTGTAACAGCTCTTGGTGTTGCTTCAAATACGGGGATTACAGAAATGGCTGAATGCATGGTAAAAAAGGACAGAAAATTACTTACCACCCCCAATTCATTCAACATGATTCCACTTGTCAGAGCTTATTGCAACGGCTATTGGCATATGTCTCGGTACCTCTACTCCGAAACTCCGGTTGAATATTTATGGGCAGACAACGGACCCAGTGGCGCTACAATCATCTCCCAATCTTTTGCATCCAAAGAATTTGGTAAGAGTTTTAAATATGTATGGCTAAATTATGGTCATGAATTCAAGGCGTCCGATATCCATTTTTTTTTTCAGTTTTGTCACTTTTTCCAAACACTGAAATGGTACCACCAAAATGTCACAACAGAAATTGCATGGGATTTAATTCAACTGTGCCCAAAATTGGCTTTTACTACGGACCACTTTGACTCAACTCCTTTACACGCTTTGGCTGGTCTGCCTTCTTCATTCCAGAGTGGAGCACATCTCAATTTCTGGCAACAATGGATCTATGACCGTTAGTACCACTTCTCCCTTCTCTTTTTATTAATATTATATATTTTCTCACCATTATATGACATATTTTCTTCCACAATTTTGCTGCAATTTAAGAGGAATTTTGATTATATTGAACTCATTTACAAAACATACGTATACAAATTTTAGTTGAATGATTGGTTTTCAGTTTTTAATCGAAGTCCTTGAAAATTAATGTTTTAATGTATTTTTATGTCGATTATTATATTTTTAACTTAAAAATTGAAATTTATAGTTTTTTTTTTAACAAACGATATTATTTACACTAACGAGGCTTAACCTCACAATTTATATTTATATTAATAAGACGTTAAATAAAACCACGAATTATGGAATTGAAAATATTAAAATATAAAGTGACACATGTACTCTACATAAAATCTCATTTTACTCCTTACACTCTGTTCTGTTTCACTTTACCACCTGAACTCTTATTCTATGTCCCATGTTACTCCATTATGTCAACCCCGTTACTAAAACTATTAACTTGCTGATGTGACATGGGTATTTTAGTAAATTTAGCAATTAAAAAAATTCAATTTAGTTTCAAAATGAAAAATCGATAACCCGATCGAGAGGAAGCTCGCAGGGGTGAGGTTGTGAGTGAGCAAGACAATGCGGCGTATGAGAGCAGCTGAGCACTGAGTAGGGTTAGGGTTAGGGACTTACGTGTAGGGTTAAATCTTAAACATAAAACGGTGTCATTTTAAACTTATAGGGTTTTGGTTTGGTTTCCAAACCCCTGAAATTGAAACCGAATCAATAGAATTTGGTTAAGTTCCTAGTTCGATTCATTTTTTTTTTCGGTTTTTAGTTTTTCTTCTTCGATTCTCTACCCGGTTCAGTTTTTTTCAATCTTCGGTTTTTCAAACCCCACCCCTTTGTACATTCACCCCAAATTAACCAAAAAATTATTGTACCATAAAATGTAGATTATTCAAACCCAAAACATGGGTACATTCTTCAAAACCACACACACACACAGATAATAGATATAGGCTTAAGAACATTAGATTTTTTTTCAAATAAACTTGCATGTATACATTCTCAAATCAACAAAAAAGAATGTACCCATACAAGTTTAAAAAATGGATTAGAAAAAATGAAATGGATTTTACATAAAAAAAACAAAAAAGAAGAAGAGAAATTACCCATAATATACATTTCAAAGAACTCCACTACTTTGAATGATTTCAAAGAGAGACAAAACCTTGAATCCTAACAAACGTAGCCAAAACACAAGCAAACCAGAATTTTAAAATTTCAACCAGCCCTCAATATACTTGTTACTTAACCATGTCAAAACTACAACCACAGCAAGTGGCCCAATGGTAAGGGCACAAATTGCTGCTCCCCAATAACAAAAATTGTGGGAGGTCCTGAGTTTAGTTGCTGAAATTTTGAATCTGATCTTGCAGAAGTGATGTAATTTTGAAATTGACCTTGCAAAAATGCTGGAATTTTGAAAGTAGCCTTTAAAAAGGTGCAAGAATTTTGAAACTGATCTTGTAGAAATGCTGGAATTTTGAAATTGACCTTGCAAAAATGATGGAATTTTGAAACTAGCCTTAAAAAAGGTGCCAGAATTTTGAAACTAATCTTGTAGTAGTGCATGATCTATGAAACTAATTTGTAGAAGTGCAAATTTTTTTGAAACTAATCTTGCAAAAATGCATGGATTGCGAAACTGATCTTGTAGAAATTAGTTTTTTACGGATCTAAAATATGTTTGAAGTTTTATAGATGGTGTAGATTTCGACAAGTCTATTAGGAGCATGACTGGAATTTTAAAATTTTGGTTTACTTGTTTTTTAATCTAGGTTTGTTGGGTTTTGGGCTTTTGTATATCATTGAAATGATTCAAAACTAGTTGAGTTCTATTAAATATATGTTGTGTTTTTGTATCAATAGGTAAAGCTTTCTAAAAACAATGTATACATTTTACATATTAAAAAATTTGGTACATTTTACATATAACAAATTGGTATGTTTAAGAATGGGTACATTTAAAGTTATAAAATTAAAAAATTATATGAATAGGTAGTTTAGGATTAAAAAATTGAAAATCTTTTTATATAAAATTGATTAGTACAAACTTATTTTAATTTTTTGTTTTTTTGTATTTTGGGAAATGTTTTAAATTGAAAATTAATTAAGAGATTAATAAAGGTGTGAGTATTAAAACCCTAAATCAATTACCAATTTTTACTTAAAAGAATTATGTAACTGAGCTTGTATATATACATACACATACATATTTATGAAAGTTCTAACAATAAACCAAAACTTTTCTCTATGCATGCATGCATGCAGATATATATTACATCAAATATATAGGAGTTTAAAGTATTTGGATTGATCTCTTGTACATGTTCTTATATTCTTCTCAGGCATAGACATACAACCTCCTCCTCTTACCGTCAATTTTACTGCTATAACTGTTCGGAATGAAGAAAATGGCCAAGCTAATAACAAAAGGACTCCAATGCGATCAGGTTTGCTATCCTCTCCCTCCCTTCTTCCCGCCATAAAAAATTCAGAAGTGTGTCTAGCTAAACGGTAGGATCAAATTTGGGTGTTTAAAATGTATGTTACCCCTTTATCATTAGTTTTAACCAAAAGTAGTTTATGGTATTTTTCTTCATTGTAAGTGAGAAAATTCATAATCGACTTACTTAAATGACAAATTCGGTGCTTAATTATTTAGACTAATCCCTCCCTATCTTACTTTATGGAGGAAATATCATGAGGGATAATTTTTTTTATTTATTTTTTGTTCATGGCCAATCTATCTTCTATCTTCATTTAATTTGGACAAAATGCGTAAAGTAGGGCATCAATTCTTCATTCAACATTTATTGACCTAGCAAGCGATCATATCCATCCCTTTACCTGATGTAGTATCATAATTAGAACGATAGTAAGGTACCTTTTCCTTTTTCTTTTTCTCAATTGTTTTTCTTTATACCGATTATCATCTAGAAAGGTAATAAGTAATAAGCTGCATATTATATCCTATTTAAGTACTTGCGCCACATTTTTGGATTTCCATTGCAGTGGCAGGTTTATTGGAAGGGCTTGTTTCTCAATCAAAAAAGCAGAAGGAAGGCCTAGTTTCGTATATAGCTGAGAAACTTGGTATGCAAGTAACAATCTCATTTGTTGTAAATTTGAATTTAAATCAATTACTACAAGCTAGTTTAATGACATTAACATTAGGGTTTTCAATGTCAACCCAGGAATCAACTGCATCTACAAGATCAAAACTGTCCATGTCCGGTCCCTTGCAGTTTTAGATGTCATGTGCAAAGAGATAAAGAAGTTGGACATGGATCAACAGCTGCTGAGCACTGTGGCTTCGGCAATGCTCCGAGCTGTTGATAAAGGGAACGTCGAGTTTATTACTAAGATATGTAAAGCAAATCCAGAACTTCAGTTCGTCTGGAATAATGAAAAATCAAAGATTTTATTTCACTATGCCGTCCAATGTCGTCAAGAAAAGATTTATAACCTTTTGCATGGGATCTCTGCAAAAGACTGGTTCATAGCTCTTACCGACAACGATAATAATAACATGCTACATATGGCAGGCTTGCTTGCCCCATTTACACAACTTAATTGTATTCCAGGTGCAGCTTTGCAGATGCAGCGTGAACTACAATGGTACAAGGTTAGAATTTCCCACTCAGCATATATAATTCTAAATTACTTGCCCTAATCATAACATAAACCGGAAGAATCAAATTAACTCTCCGGAAATTTTGAGTGAGAGGGAGGAATCGAACTCAGGACCTCAGGTTGTCCTTCTTAGTTTGTTTAGGCAAATATACAACCCCGATGTATGAATTTTTTTTAAACCATCCCCAAGCCTTGAAGTGTAAATTGTAAAACGAGATTATATAAAAATATATTTTATGCTTACATGTCTCAATACTTTTTGTTTGATACAATGTAGGAGGTAGAGGCGGTTGTACCTCCCAAGTTTCTTGACTCTACGAACAAGGATAATTTGACACCAAGAGATCTATTTACAAAGAGTCATAGTGAATTGCTACAGAAAGGTGAAAAATGGATGAAGGAGACGGCAACTTCTTATACTGTTGTAGGTGCTCTTATTATTACCATGATGTTTGCTGCTGCGATTACAGTTCCTGGAGGAAATAAAGATACCGGCTTTCCCGCATTCATCAATGAAAAATTGTTTATGGTGTTTATAGCTTCAGATGCTATATCACTCTTTTCTTCCACGACCGCAACGTTAACGTTTCTTGGAATTCTCACATCACGTTATGCAGAAGACGATTTCCTGAAATCCTTACCCACAAAGATGATAATAGGGCTTGCCAGTCTTTTTTTTGCTATTGCAACCATGATGATTGCGTTTTCTACTGCCCTTCTAATTATAAATTGTGGACATTCCTGGATTGTGATTCCGGTCATACTTCTTTCAAGTGTTCCAGTCACTTTATTTGCTTGGATGGAATTCCCCCTCCTAGTTAGAATTACCGTTTCTACTTACGGTAAAGGAAAATTTAATAGGAATGTGAAACGTTGGTTGTAAAGGTACTTCGGTATTTTACAATTATTACTCTATATATTTATGTGGGTGTTGTAAGTACTATTAATTATGTGGCCGTCCACTTGGGCAATGTGTAACATCTTGCGGGCCAGTCACTTTGTTTTCCCATCCCTATCTCTCAATTCTCTCTATCTCTATATATTTCATAGTTTATTTCCAACACCTTATTAGCATGCTATTTTATTTTCTTCATCTGAGCTAGAGTCATTGTGTGGTTTAAAATTTTTTCTATACTCAATCATTGAACTTCATCATGCTCTTAATTTCTTTTTCTTCTCTTGAGTATCTAAATTATATACATATACATATACAGACATACATATATATATATATATATATATATATATTGTCCAAAGTCATTGTATTGAAAAAAAAACCAACAGGGCCAACAAGAACAAAAAAGGCCAGATCAAACCCAAAAGAAAATATAAAGACCTAGGGAAGTCGATACCGTCTAGGCAACTGAAAAGTCATCATAGAAATCAGACAAACGGTGCCACTACTTTTAGAAACAATTGTCACAATTTTTAGATAGTGACACCTTTTTAAGAAATACTGGTCAATATTTCTAAAAACAATAACACTATTTCTAAACAGTGGTCACTATTTTTAGAGAGAGAGAGAGAGAGCTTTAAGGGAAGGAATTTCTATTTTTTTTTATAAAAAAGGATTAGTTGTAGGGTTTATGTAACATCCCACATTGTCCAGGGGAATGATCCTTAAATGTATATTCTCATCCCTACCTAGCATGAGGCATTTTGGGAGCTCACTGACTTCGGGTTCCATCGGAACTCCGAAGTTAAGCGAGAAGGTGGCCGGAGCACTCCCATGATGGGTGATCCATTGGGAAGTTGCTCATGAGTTCCCAAAAACAAAACCGTGAGGGAATGGTAAGCCCAAAGCGGACAATATCGTGCTACGGTAGTGGAGTGGGCCCGGAAAGTGGTCCGCCCCAGGCTGGGATGTGACAAATGATATCAGAGCCTAACCCTGGCCGTGGTGTGCCGACAAGGACGTCGGGGCCCTAAGGGGGTGGATTGTAACATCCCACATCGCCTAGGGGAGTGATCCTTAAATGTATATTCTCATCCCTACCTAGTATGAGGTCTTTTGGGAGCTCACTGACTTCGGGTTCCATCGGAACTCCGAAGTTAAGCGAGAAGGTGGCCGGAGCACTCCCATGATGGGTGCCCACTGGGAAGTTGCTCGTGAGTTCCCAAAAACAAAACTTTGAGGGAATGATAAGCCCAAAACGGACAATATCGTGCTACGGTGATGGAGTGGGCCCGGGAAGTGGTCCGCCCCAGGCGGGGATGTGATAGTTTACATCACATCGAATTTTAACGATCCGAACAGTTTATTTTTCAAGTTGTACCTCATAAACCATCCTTACAAAATATGAGTCAAATCGGAAATATTTAAGACATATAACTGGGTTCAAAGAAATGAACGAATATTTTGGTATATAAGAAAAAATGAAATTTGATCTTAATAATTAAATAGGCAAATGATTTCGGATTGAATTGAATTTTTATAAGGATGATCTATGAATCGAGACTAACAAAATAGACGGTTCGGATCGTTGAAATTCGATGTGGAGTGAGCCCCACAGCTAATCCCCATTTATATATATATATATATATATAATATAGAGAGAGAGAGAGAGAGAGAGAGAGAGAGAGAGAGAGAGAGAGAGAGAGAGAGAGAGAGAGAGAGAGAGAGAGAGAGAGAGAGAGAGAGAGAGAGGAAGCCTCTAAGGGAAGGGATACCCTTTTTTTTTAAATGGGAATTAGTTGTAGGGTGCACACCACATTGAACTTTAACGATCCAAGCATCTATTCTTCAAGTTACACCTCATAGATCATCTTTGCAAAATATTAGCCAAATCAAAAATATTTAAGACATCTAATTGGGTTTAAAAAAATTAACGAATACTTTGTTATATAAGAAATAATGATATTTTATCTTTATAATTAAATAGGCAAATGATTTCGGATTGAATTAAATTTTTGTAAACATGATCTATGAATCAAGAATTACAAAGTAGATTGTTTGGATTGTTGAAGTTTGATGTGGAGTGGGCTCCACACTTAATCCTCTTTATTTTTTGAAAAACATGAGTTCCCTTTGCATAAAGGAAAGAGAGGAAGTGGCAGAGGAGAGAAGAGAGATTATAAGGAGAAAAAATATTTTTAGGTTTTTTAATTATTATATTAAGCTTTTGGTTTTTTTTTTTAGTAAAATTCAAATCTTTTTTATTAAATAAAGTCACTAGGTTGTTTTTGTTTAAGAAAAAGTTTAGAGAAGTCCTTTTTATTAACAATAATGCTATTCATATCATATTTTCGTACCACATTTTCATACCACCTTAGGTGACATTTGATGTGGACAGCCACATCATTTGAATTAATTAGATTTTTAAATTTAGTTCATTATTTAATAAACTAATAATTAAGAAAAACTAGTTAATTAAATGATGATTGTGGTATACGAGAAGTCTTTCTCCTTCCTTTCCTTGGGTTTTGCAAAATTTTCAAATAATGTGGTTGTCCATATGATGCCACCTAAGGTCGTATAGAAATCTGGTATAAAAAGATGGTATGAATATCATTACTCTTTTATTAAAACTCCATGGCTGTTTAATGTTGAATTTTGTCTACACCATTAAATAAAGTTACTAGGATTCTTTCGGTTAAATATTCGAAGTTTGAAACTATTTTCATTAGTTTTCTTTTAAATCAATGGCTCATTAGTTTTCTTTTAAATCAATGGTATTTGTTTGTTTTTTCTTCTTTCTTGGGGTATGGTTTATGACTTGCCTTTGATTATTCATTTACCTCGAAAACAACACTTGAGTCTCAAGTTGTCATTCGAAACAAAAAATTTGTCATTTAATTCTTGGAAGTCGCATGATCTAACTTACTGGGATGGCAGATGAAGAAGACGAAAAGAAGACAAATTGAGATAGAATTTAACTTTCAATGGGTTAAATGTCGATTTTTCAATAATAATCTATATATATAAAGTGAGAGCCCTAGTTTGGTGAAGCTTTCCAAAATGTCAAAAATGCCCATTTGTTTCCTTCACAATCAAAACTCAAAAAATTCAAAAAAAAAAAAGGACAAATTGGTAAAAAATCATATCTTAACAAAAAAAAGTAGAGTGGTGATATTCCCACCCCGATGTCTTATTTCCCCACCCACCATTTAATGAAAATGTTAATAACATATTTATCATTTTAAAAGAAGACTCTTAAACCCCTATTTAATTCAGTACTAAAATTTTGAAAAAACAAATAATTTAAAATAATAAATAAATAATGGTGGTTTGGGTGTGATACTTTGGTGGAAAGAGGTTAGGAAAGATTTGGGTTAGAATTGACGGAAAGGTTGGAGGAAGGAATGGACGTGTGCTAGATGAAGGCGAGAAACTTCAATGGAGGAAAAAGAGAATTGGTTGTGAGATCTTCGGTTTTGACAAAAAAGGAGGAAGAAGAGTGGTTTGGGGATCTGAGGTCTCTGCAGAGTGGCATTAGGTGTGAAGGAGATGATGAATGTCTAGGTCTTAGGTCTTGCATTTTCTTTCATTTTTTTTTCTATTTTTATTTATTTATTTATAATATTATTTAAAGATATATTAGAGTTATTTAAAAAAATATTATGGTTATTTTGGGAATAATGATGGGTGGGGAAATAGCATTTTACTTTTTTAATTTTATATGGTGGGTGAGATTATCATGTGGGTGTAAGACACTGGGGTGGGTCTAGTAGCACTCAAAAAGTATTGAAAAACAAAATATAAAAAAAAGAAAAAGAAAAAAAGTAAAGAAAAATGGGACAAAAACGTAAAAAAGAACTTAACAGTAACCGTATTGAAACAAAACATGATAATTAATTTTTTTTTTAAATCATGATAATTATCCTCTAAAAGGTTAGCAGTTATGGAGAGGAGAGATAGATAAAAGATAATGGCAACAAAAACAAATTAAAACAAATAGAAAAATGAGATAATCCAAACTAAAATGGCAAAACCGTTCACAAGGGAGAGGATGAACGTGGTGTCATTTTTTGAAACTGCTATGAGCAGTTACGTTTGGGTTATATCTTTCTCCATGACACAAATATTGACTCATCTCAGTCTACCAGATATTCAGTTTTTTATTTTGTTTACCTCTTCTCTTTTGTGTTCTTGGCGTTTGATTTCATATTATTGGGAATTAATTGTTTTTGTTAATCCATTTTTTGGTCTACTTTTCCCCTCTATCTTGAGTTTTGATTTTGAAATATATACAAATCTATTGCAGGGAATGGACGAAAAGGTTGACAAAGACAAGCTTATTCATGAGTTTTCATTGAACAGCCTGCCTGTTATCTAGCAGCAAGGTCCAAGTCCCCACTTTGCAACCTCATCAAGTAATCAGAATCAGGCAAGTGGTGAAATTCCCTTTCTACCGTTGAACATAAATACTCATCACTCTGACTCTGGAATGGTTTTTAGATTTTTCAGGGTTTATCTAGCGTTTTATTTTACCTAATTCTACTTTTGGGTTTCATTCTTCGTTGATTTTGATTGTGTTGTTTTTGGACTACACCAAGGACTTTGTGGAAAGACTCGCTATGGAGATGCAGACCCAGACCATGCGGCACGTTAGATAAAAATTTGACGATGTTTCGAAGAACACATACAGATCTAAAGGCTTTCTATCTGTGAATATTTACTGGTAATTAGTGTTTGCAGATTGCCTCTTCCAACTAACCATGTCTGTTTCCTGTAGTGAATGCCCCGTCTGCATCAATTACATGTATCCAACCCATCAAGTCCTTTTTCTCTAACCTTCTCCAAATTTGAATTTCACTGAAGTGAGGTTTTGTTTGAGTATTGGTAATTTGTTGCTTGCATTTTTGTAAGATATTCATATTTGTCATTTTATTCTATTGGTAATTCGTTGTTTGATTGGTTTTGTTGCTTTCCTCCGCGTTTGAACTCATATTCGTTAATCTACCAATTTTATTTGGGTGCTAAACTGCCTCTGTTACTCAAGGTTATTGTACTTTTAGTTAGA